ACGTTTTTTACGGTTACAAAATCAAGTTATTTCATTAGTAAATACATTTTGACACAATGAAGCTTATTAGGTGTGCTGTAGAAGCGACGTAGTGTAGTTTACCCACAGTTATAAAGTAGTATACCTATATCTGTGAGTATACCGGATAGCCATAATATTATAAGTGTACCTATATGAGGTATCTATGAATGTATTTATTTTTTCAACGTAAGGAAATACTTAAATGACAAATACTTATTATATAATATATACTATTAGACGTACCTATACAATTTATAGGTAAACGTGAACCAAATAAACTGATCGAGTCTCGCTTCCATACTGTTCTATTGTTCTATATTGTTCATTGTTCTAAATAGCATTATAGGTATTAAAATCATAAATAAAAATGAATAGTTTATTCACGAGGCAAAATCTTTTTATTGCTACAGTTATTCTAATTAAAATCTTAGAAATAACACAGCATTATTAAGGACAGATGAAAACATTCGAATATAAAGAGGTAATTAATTTAATTAATTAAAAGTAATTAAATTAGTCAGTCTTGGGTAATGGGTAGTATTCAGATTCAGAATACCAGTGCTGTAGGCCGTAGACAGGGCACTTGCCCAACCCTGAAATTTTTTTTTGGCTTGTGTTATATTATACTAATATACTATAATATGTTTGATATTTGATAATAATTAAAAGGCTGTTGAAAGCGAATCATTTTGAAGATGTTGGATTTAGGAAATATTCTATATCCAGCGCCAGCGTTATAGTGCTGTGTGACTGTATGTGTAGTGACTGATCATAAGTGGGTGTGAGTTTAAGTTAAGCCCTATTTTAATTTTGAAAACATTTTTTAATTTCTTAAAATATTTTTTAAGTTATGTGGGAAGTGGATTTTTTTTTTTTTTTGTTGAATTGTTTAATTAGTACAGAAGAAACAATGCGCCAGTCGCACCAGTCAGGCCGGATACTCCAGTCATACCAGAAACGCTACCTAGCTGCAGGGCTCAATGACAATGAAGTTGTATTCATACAAAACTTCATGTTCTATTTTAATTTGAACAGTTAGTAATGGAATTGTTGTTCGTCTCTGACGATTGTCATTTGCCATAGATCATGTTTTGTAACCTATAACCGATGGATAATTTCGCAATATTTTTAAAAACTAGAAGCATTTTTTAAATATATTTTACATTTTAAAAATTATTATACAATTAAAGTGTAATACACTAATACTAATTATATAAATAAATATAATAATAAGTTAAATATTGAATAAAAATATAATTATACAATTAGAAAATATAGGATTAATTAATTGTGCGTTGGAGTCAAGGGGATTTTGTTCAATAATATGTGGAGTCAGTGGCGGTCAAATGATTTTGTCATTGGTGGTCGGGGGAGGTGTATAGCTGATTTTTTAACATGCATTATTTTATCATAAAAAATATAAATTATAGTTATTTCTAATATCGATTTATAAAATTATAGTAAATACAAACATTATTTATAGCTTATGTATACAGGTATACTGTCTTTATAAGTATATTATATAGTATTAACAATATTTTGATTAAATTAGTAAATCTATTTTTTTGTTTTTTTTTTTTTTTTGCTAATATTCGTCCAGTACTTCGTTGGATGTTATATATTTTATAACCCCACGATGAACAGCCATTGTAAAAATATTACCGCTAAGTCTACAACTTAATTTTTTGTAACGAAATTAGTGATCTTAATTATTTTTTCATCCGTTTAGAGCGTTTAGAAGTAGACCAACTTGCATTAAAATAGCTAGTGATTTTCCTTTTATCAAACATAGCAATTATGAAAATGTAAAATAGACAAAATAGTCAATATTACAAAAGACACCGACCGTATAATAGTAATACACTTTAGTATACACTACAGCGTACTACACGGACACACAGTAGAAAACACGAGTACCTACGGAAGAGTAAAGACGTATCACGCCGCATATAGAATATTCGGCCCTCCAGAAATTTGTTTAGCCCCTTCTGAAAAAGTTTACTGTTTTATACGTCCATATGTGAGAACTGAAAACATTTTCTATTATTAATTTTGATGTCCAAAGAATATTATATATACTATATATAATAAGAATATTATATATTATATTTGATAATTTAAATTTTAAATAAAAAATGCTAATTATGAAGAACTGTATTGATAAATATGATTTTGACATAGATGCTATTGAATCAGATAAGCTTATATAAGCTTTTACAAGTAGCGCTTACAATTCCAGTAAATTCTGCTTCTTGTGAAACATAATTTTCAGTAATGCGGCGAATAAAAATTAAAAACATGGCTAATAAATTCTATGACAAACGATAGATTTTTAAATCTAAGTTTTTTAAATATTTAATTAAAATACAAAATATTTATTTTATAATAATATGATGTATGGTATATTATTTATTTATAATTTACTTTATAATGTGCTTCTTTAATCCTTTTTATATTTTGTTCCTTTACATTTTTCTATAGTAATATATTTTGTAGAATATATGTTCTTTACCTGAATCATTATAGCCCCTATACGAAGTAATTTGCAAGAAGTTGCGCTAGCGTCGTTGATACAAAAAAAAGGCTACAGCCCTCCCTCCCCCCCAAAAAAAAGAATCATTTCGGTGATAACTAAATATTATGAGTTATTATAAGTTATAACAAATAATAAGCAATCGATGTTTCAAGTTTTCAACCAACTGGCAACTTTGTGAAGGGAAGGGGCAAAACATTTTACTCTTATTCCCCCAAAACCCCCCAGCCCATTCGATGACAGTCCATTATATTATTATTATCTTAGTAAGTTGTTTGTTCTATTGAAATTGAATATTCAAATGATATCAGCGGTAACGATTTGTTTCTCGAGGGGAACCGTTTATATATTACTAAGTTTATTAACAAATTTATATTGATATATACAGGGTGATTCTTTTATCAAACAACACTTTCAATACTTTTCAAATGATGACATAATTATAATATATTACCCCATTCGGTGCGCACTTTCACCCCAATAATGGGGACGCATTTGTTATAATTTCTAATTATTCAGAATTTTTGGTATTATTGCTTTGGTAAAATCAATTTTTTACCGGAAAATTGAAATCTACGTAATATTTATGATAGGAAAACAATATAACAATATTTCTAAAACGTGTATGGTACCACATACCAGCTGTTAAATGTTAGGTGTGCCATTATATACCCCAGGTTACTCTATTGTGAGATTCTTACGAATTAATGTGATATAGGTACTTAATATTATTTTATTTTGTTTTATTATTGTGGTGTCGAAAAAAACATAAGAAGCCACTATTTGTACCTACGTAAGTTCTTTTCCACTTGTGTGATACCTAATTACCTAAATGCGATGATTCAATGAAAAGTTGTAATAAATTACTCGATAAATTATCCCGATTGCAATATGGAAGTTTGTTTATAAGCTCAAATGTATATAACGTCCTCTGGGTATTCGATACCCACCGTTTTATGGAGTTCCAAGCAGTTCTTATGTAAATGTCCAAGTCCGCAGTATAAGTAAAGTAACATAAATAGTTGACCGCAATCGCCATGCTTGCATATATAATGTATATTATATCAATAACGAACCTCACACATATTATTTATTTTGTTTTTTTTTGTCTAAAAGTATTATTAATGGCATAATTCCCAATTAGTTATCAAAACCTATATAGTATTATTATAGTTATCCGATAAAATTGTTGAAAACATATTTAAGAAAAAATTTACTTGCAATTAATTTTCTAACATTTGTTAGTTATAGTCAATATTATCGATATTTTAAAATTAAAAAATTTAATTTTGAAGTATTTAAACGTTAAATTACGTTTTGGCTAGCCACCGGCCGTTACTCGTTAGGTATTAGTAAGTACACTGAGGGCAGAATATATATCTTATAGTTTGCGGAAAATCTATTAATAGATAACGTTGTGAAAATTCAAAATTGCTTAGAGCTGAAATGGGTACTTACCTAGATTTTTTTCAAATATTTTTTTTTAATAATATAGGTCTAATCAAGTACTGGAGTATCTACGTAGGTTATAGGTTATAGTATAGTTGGATAATATTATGATAATATGTAGGTGAGGCTATTTCATATTTGATTTTTAAATATTAAAACTGTTTACTTTTTATTGAATTAGCTTACTCATACAATTTTTTCTGTTTCTGCGTTCTTAACGTATTTATATTTAATACGCTACGCATGATTTTATATGATTTGCAAAATTTGAATTTTCACTATAAAAAATTTATATATATATATTATTCTAAACAAATTCAAACAGTAGAGTTTTTTTAAATAATTTAATGTATTAAATTATAAACATTTTAACCATACCATAAGTTAACTTAATTTTTTATTAAATTTGAAACACCTAACTTTGCTTATAGTTTTACAATGGTGAGTTCTTGACTCACTAATTGGCACAGTGTACAATGCAATTTATTCCATTGAGTACAATATATGCCTAAATGTATTTCTGTAACATAAATAATTATAAATCTGAATTATATATGACAATATTACATTAAAGTTACGATTGATTATAGGATTTATTTTTAAAACATTTAAAATAAACATAAATTATTACACAAAAATATACTCAACGAGAAATATTTTCAATATATTTTCAATTAGATTACCTATATTAAGTCCGGGCTCCGCGTACTGAGCCCAGAATTCTTGTTTCGTGGCAAAATAATCGGCGATGTCCATAACGAAGCTCCACGAGTCGTCAATGTCTCCGTAGTTGCGCCACAGGCTATACAGTGTTCAGTTATTGAAGCATAATCGATCAGTATTACGAGTTGATTTGTTATTAATAGGATTATTGGTGTTCACTGTCAGATTTTTTTTTTATAATCATTTGAAGTTCAAATTCAAAAGTTCAAAGTCCAATTATTCTACCACCGGTTCGGCCTGTCGAAAATGACACGTCGGAATCAAAATGCAGCATTCAGTACGTAGAAGCAGAGATGGTGCGTATTTTCATGTGTCGAACCGGTGGTAGAGCCGACCATACTGCACATTGCAGAGTCTCGAGGTCGCCAACTTGTGAAGGGGTTTCGGGTGTAATATTCTGCACTGACGACTCGGCCGGAGACCTGGAATCATCAGTCGAAACGGCGAAAGATTCTGTAATGGGTTCGATCGATAAGTCTGTGGACTTCGTGGAATCGCTGCCAAACCGCACCATCTTGGCTTCTCTGTACTGAATGCTGCATTTTGATTCCGACTTGTCATTTTCGACAGGCCGAACCGGTGGTAGAGCCGACGATACTGCACATGGCAGAGTCTCGACGTCGCCAACTTGTGCTGGAGTTGCGGGTGTGGGTGTCATAATCTGCACTGATGACTCGGCCGCAGACGGGGAATCAGTAAAAACAGCGTTAGTTTCAGACTGGATGTTGTTGAAAATATCCGAAACTTCTGGGGTAATCGAAATCATATTGTTTTGAAAAATATATAAGTTCTGCCGTCAAAATATCACACGAAAGTCGAAAAGTAGGCGAGTTAGAAAAATTATTCGCGATGCGTGTTCGCTATACAACGGTCAAATTAATACTGAGAACTGTTGCTAAACACTTAGTATTTATATTTCAAACACTTTTGTAGCCGATGGCAACAAGATTATTATATTTTTTGTAAAACGAGAATGTATTTAGATTTTTTAAGACCTGTCCAGTATTCTTTCTGAAAAAAAAATTAAAAAAAAAAAAAAAATATAGGTACCTTATTTCTTATTTCTTATTTCTTATCTTATTTCTATTTTTAAGTTATACTGTTCAACTACAATACTAAAAGGCGTTTTATTATTTAAATAAAATCAGTCATTTGTAGATTTGAGAAATATCACAACAAAAATGTAATAATTTCATCGTTTATTACTACCTATAACACATGTGTTAATAATAAAATGTCATACATTTTATTCAATAAAACAAATTGTATAATTAAAATACCATTTACGTAGGTAGAATAGTCACTGAGCAAAAATAGAGTCACATTTACAACGTCATCACACACTGTAAGTTAATAATTAATAAACATTACATGGTGACAGATAAGCTATAATATGAAAACAATAATAAATAATAATATATATTGAGACCTTATAATATTATTTAATTTGACTCCATGAACTCTGTATAAATTATACTTTTTTAGCCAACGTTGTAAAGTGTGTTCAAGTATGACAATTGATCAAATTTTACATCTAGCGTCCTGACATTTAAGATTAAGTAAATAATTTTGGCTCACGAAAATCGAATATTTTTTGTTAATTTTAATTGATTTGAATGCCATTGATTAGAGATCAACTTACTATAGTTAGTTAATATTAGTTATAGATAGTATATTAATAGAAATACGGCATATAAAAATGCCAACAAAATATATAGATATAGGTACCTATTTTCAAAAAAAAACAAATATTAAAATAAAATACTTAACTACGCAATTAAAATGATTACTTTTATGATTTAGTTTTTTAATTCTCGACCAGTGCCGGATTTAGAGGGGGTGCAGGGGGTGCATTGCACCGAGGCCTCAAGATCAAGGTTGTTTTAGGGGCCTCAGGTTGAAGTACTACATTTTCTAACTTTCTATAACTTTTTATTATAAAATGAACAAACTTTATTATTTTAAGATGTTACTGACAAGTGGCAACCATTTATTTTGGACGGTTTGAATTTAAGATAATACTATTTATCATTGTTATTGTTTGTTTTACATATATATTTGTATACACATTAATTAAATATAGTATGCATCGTATACTATTTTCGTATAATCGTACTATTTATTTAATCTCAGAGGCTCGCGAAGTCGCTCTAGCCGCGAGTGCAATATCTTGCTAGACAAATTAATAATATAACTGTGGTTATATTTATTTATTGTTTAATATAAAGTAAAAACGGATTATGATTTACGGACATGCGTTGGTGCAGCGTGTTATTTGGATATGTTATTTTGTACTTTTGTCAGTTTTTTTACCTACTCTATTATATTAACTTTTCATTTGATTATCAAAAAATATAAATTAGGTACCTACCTACACTATATTTTATTGACTTGAAAAAAACATGTCTAATAGCTGACAATTTGAAAGTGGTGCATCTAAAAGATGGAGAAAAACGTTCAAAACAATGAATTAAAAAAATATAAAGAATTGATGAATAATTTTGTATTCAATTCAGGTAACTGAAGGTACCTGATTTATATTTGTGTCCAGTGCCATATTTATGGAAGGACAAATGGAACATTTGCACTGGGCCCACTGACTTCAGGCAAACAAAATATTAATTTTATACCTTTTTATTATACTTTGGAAAAACAAAATATATTTAGATTTTACTTGAATATTTTGGTGGGTTATAACTAGGCTTATTGACTTTTAGCTCTAAAAATACCCAAATATGCACCAAAAAATGGCCAAATTATATGTCCTAAAATATGCACCTAAAAATAACCGTATATGTACTAATATATGGCCCCCATAAAAATTAGGTATAACAAATATGTGGTAAAATTAAATATTTATTTTATTAGAATTTATATTATATAATATTAGAATATTATTACTTGAATAGAAAATTATATAATATAGGGCTCCATCACTCCCCCTTGTATCCAGGCCTGCCATGTACATCCATTTTAAGAGCATTTATATCATGGGGCACTACATTATATCAGTCGCATACCCTGCGAACAAGTCTATGCACGGCCTATGGTGGTATAATAGATATGAGAATAGGGACTCAGTAAGTGAATGCATAATTTCATAATTTACCTATTGAATTATGGAATTTAAATTTTGTGTTTTTTAGTTTGTTTAATATATCAAAATGACGAAACGTATCAAATAAATAGATAAGTGTAATGTAGGTATCGAGAACATTTTTTTTTTAAGGGGCCTCCAATTGGTAGTTGCACCCCGGCCTCCTGAGACTTAGATCCGGCACTGTTCTCGACATATTTTTTATGTGTAAACACAAAAAGACGAATACTAATTAACGATATTGGATTTACGTCGGCTACTGAGCACTCGAGTAGCATCTGGACAGTGTTCTGTGTTTACATAAAAATATGTCCGAAATTAAGAAGTGGAAAATCATTAAATTAATCATTATAATTGTATATTATATAATATATTTTTAATTTTTAACTGGAGCAAAACCAAAACGGTAGAAATATAGATTCATTTTAATTCGGGCGAAATCAGGTAATACAGCCGCTATATATATATATATATAAACAATTTATATAAACAAATGGCGCAAATAATTACTGCCAAGGAATTAATTTTGGATATAGGTACTTTTTAAAACATTTTATACTTTTACATTCCTCGAATCATTGTTCGAAATCTAAAGAAAAATACATTAGTACGTATTTTATACAGTAATCGAGTAACTAATAAAATAATATTAAATGTACCTATCATAATGCATTGGTATAATTTATTGATTTTAAAACTATCATAGTATTATATGGTATCAAATTATGCGTTTATCAAACTCAGTACCTACATAGGGTCGTTTTTATTTTTATAATAGTACTTAATTAGGTTATAATCAGGGACGGATTGGTTATGCGAGCTACCGAGAAAATTGCAGGGATATGATATTTTTTATAATATTACATGATTTTAATGAAATTATGATATTTTTAATTATTTTAGCAAGATTTTTGTATTTACACACAGACAACTATGTTTTTATCAAAATTAGTACATTTTAACGTATATTCACATTGATGAGTAAATTTTTAGATTTCAGCATAAATTCTACCTACGTATTTAACGAAAAAATGAGTAAATTATATATGAATAGGTCCTATATTGCATTTAATTGCTGTATATTGGATAGCGTTGTATCAGTATTAGGTATGTATGGTACGTTGTGATATATTTTATGTGGGTCTAGTTCGTTTCGCCGCGATCGTTTCGCCGCCGGACTATTCGCCGCGACCAGTTCGTCGCCATTCATTTCGCCGCGATCGTTTCGCCGCCGTTCATTTCGCCGCCGCTCTATTCGCCGCCGTTCATTTCGCCGCCGTTCTATTCGCCGCCGTTTATTTCGCCGCGATCGTTTCGCCGCCGTTTATTTCGCCGCGATCGTTTCGCCGCCATTCAATTCGCCGCGATCGTTTCGCCGCCGGAACTTTTTAGTGACATCACTTCTCCGAGTTTAGCATTACCTTTCAAATTGTTGATCGAGGTGTCAACTAAAGCCATTATAGTCCCATTAATTTAATATTTGTTAGTTTAACCAACACAAACAAAAACAAATGTATGTACTTCAATTGTGTAGTTCTATAATTTATAATATTTCTATTTACGTAGGTAATTACTAGCTGAATTACCCGGATTTGCCCGTAGTTGTTGCTAAATTAATTATAAATAAAACACAAATATTTATAACAATAATAATATTTAAAAATGATTCTATACACATATTGTAGGTATTAAAATTGTTTAGTTTCAAAAAATACAAATTATCATGTCTGTCGTAACTTGCAATAAGTACAACAATTGTCTAAAACAAAAATGCACTTTGTACATAATAGTGTTACTAATAAGCAGTAAATACCTAATTTCTAATTGTTTAATCTAAAACATCAAAATATTATATCATTTTATGTGATCATTTGTTTTTTCAATTTAATAATGGTTATAGCATTATAGGTAGGTAGATTACAACCATAGGCGCAACTAAATATTTCCATAGCCCCCCCTGATGAAAAATCTCAGGATTTTGTGATAAAATTTAATCATCTATATATTCTATAGTCTCAACAGTGGCGTACTTAGACCTGAACTTTGAGGGGGGGGGGGTTAATTTTTAAATTAACATATTGGATGGAGTGACACCTGAACTTAAAAAACTTATCGTACATTTTAATGAATTACTCATTTTAGATTCTGAGCGGAGCGACTTTTTTGTCTGTCACCACGTTTTGAGGCAGTAAAAGTGCTCCGATTTTCTCGACCAGCAACTTTTCTGATAGGAAAGTGAATCTAGTTGGTACTTTGGGGGGTCAAAAGTAAAAAATGTTCAATACATTTTAAACGCAGCGGGAAAAACAAACAAAAAATCAAGGAAAAACCTGACATTTTTACGCAACGCACTTTTTTGGAAAAATTGATTTTTCTTTTTGGTGTAACACAAATTTGCGTTACCTAAAATTATTTTTATCACGTTACTTTACTTTTTCATAAATAAAGTAGTGCGTTACAAGAACGTTACTTTTTTTTTAAAATGGGTATAGTCAGTTTTAAATTTGCCAAAATAAATAGCCTGCATATATGTTTATACCCATATATTAGGTAGATAGGTGGTTTACTCATAAGTCGTAAATCATAATTCATTTTAATTAAATTTTATTTTTAAGCCGAACTCTTTTCTTTCTGATAATGGAAGCAATGACATTAATTCATGGAATCTC